CCCCTGCTTCTCATATGGATACCACCTCCCAGTCCAATACAGGTCGCAAAAATGCATCTAGTAAGAGTTCCGACTCTCGGAAATATATTATACCATGACATTTGAATTTGTATGCGTAGCTACGGCCGGCGGACACGAGTGCGAGCGACGCGGCCTTCGAGACTCGAGAGTGCCTGCCAATAGCCGTAATATACAAATCAAAAGAACATCCCGTCAATGCAACCCATCCGCGTTGCTCAAAATACCCATCAGATCATTGCAGGAGTGAGGCGGGGTGTGCGAGCGCGGCGGCCAATTTCGCGCGCGATCGGCGTCATGGTGGAGGAGAGACAAGCGCGAGAGGGCGCGGGGAACGAGAATCGCGGATTCCAACAAGCAAGCGCCCGCGCAGGAGAGCTCCTCTCTCCCGCGGCTTTCGGGCCGCTACCCGCTCGCCCAAACTGTGGTGGCGATTGTCTGCACCCGAAAATTACACTGTCAGGATAGCCTACGACGGTAAGGACGTGTATAAACGAATCCGATGTTGCGAGATTTGCAACGCAGAGGGAAATGCCGCCCCAAAGTTCAAATCTGTGGGCCAAGATAGCTAGCGATAGCCGACGAGAGCGAGCGCCGCGGTCTCCGGGACTGTTTTGAGAAACCAGTCCGAATTGGACGAATACACCTTCAATGTAGACCGTCGGATAAGAGTGGAATACAAATGAATTTTGTATTTGATTACAGCTGAGCGAGCGAGCCCAGGAAATATTTTATGTACAGCCCAGGTCGTGGTGAAAGACAGATGAGCGCGAGGAGCGCGGCAAACGAGATTCGAGAATCAAGCGCCCGCGCGAGCCAGACGAGTTCCCTGTTTGGCAGCTCCTCCTCGTTCGTCCTCTCTCCGCTACCACCACCGGCTCTGTCGTCCGCCCACCACCCCCGTCGCGGCGGCGCCTTCAGTAATAAGAGAAAACAGTTATAGATGTAATAGTGCGGTGTATGCGCCTTCAGCAAACGTAAGGTACCACAATCTACACGACGTCTACATCCCCAACTCCGGCCACACAAGCGGCAGACGTGCGAGCCTGAGCAGCACAAGCTGCATGTCCGTCAGCTCGGCGACCCCGCTCTCCAGCTCCGCCATCGCCTCTGCCTCGTCCGTCACCGTCTCGGCCGACGTTGGCCCGTCCCGGGGGTGCCTCGGCGGTAAGTTGTTCGGGTTTGACTTTGGGCGCCGGCGTTGCTTACCCAAATCGCTGCGATAGCGCTTCGGCGGAATGCCGCGGTGAAGAAGAGCGGGGGCGACCAAGAGGGGGTCCCTTCTCGCCGCGTCGAGCTCGGCTGGATCCGTGATCGGGACGAAGCGCATTGCGCCGCTCTTCCAGAGCTCGAGGAGGCGCAAGATGCGCTCCTTGCCCGTGATGCGGCTGAGGTTGTCGAAGACGATGTCGTCGGGCCAGCCCAGGAGCTTCACGTGGTACCGCAGGACCACGCCCGTGCAGTACCGCTTGATAGCATACGCCATCTTCGCGCCTGGGACACCCGCGACGTCCGCTAGGGGGGCGCCAACTCAGTTCGGGCATGCACACGAACAAGTATGTGTTACTCACATATTCCATCGCTCAGCAGACCCCTGAGCTCCCCCCGCAACTTGATCTCCATCCGAGCATAGTCGGCGCGGAGGGTATCGCCATGTGCGCGCTGTCCGGCCATCGTGGTCGAGGGAGGTATAGAGCTATAGCAGTATGAGACGAGACGGGCGGCCGAACAAGGACGTGCGGTACGTACTGTGGGCTGCACGCGCGCGAGGAGAGTGGAGCTGACTGTTGAGGTGACAGGGCAAGGATCGACTGGCACCTGGGGTACAAGTATCCTCCGAAAGCGAGGGGAGCCGGACGATCGCCACGCGAGATCGGGGCAGCCACCCTCCTATGGTCCGTCTCAACTGCGCGTCATGCGCGCCTCTCGAAGCGGCCATTGAACGTGTTCTGAAACGCGCGGCGAGCCGCGGTCGTCTCCCGTCACGGTGAGCCGTTTCGGTTGCATACCGTCATGTTGGACCTCGGCTGATCAAGTCCGTTGCGAACGGCGGGCCTCAGGAGCGCACCGCCTGCGGTCATCATCTACAATTTCGCCGTATTCAGATGCGGCCGCGTCGTCTTGGACATGTCGCCTTTTTGCGGGAGGTGTTCCGAGTCTCTCGCACACAATGCCCACCCTTACATCCCGCGCCCCGGACGATCGGTCAAGTGGATATCAGATCGCGTTTTCGGACAGTGCTGACAAGCCTCCGTAGATCAAATTATCGCCCTTCGTGCAAGTTCTTAGCATTCCCAGCCGCGCCTCCGCTCAGACGGGCTCGGCGCACTCCTAGCGTTGATGGGGTCGACACTTACTCCGTCATTTGCGTACAGTATCATGGTGAGTATCAGGGTCGTCCCTGCATCGTCCCAGACCGTTTCTGACACCTTAAGCTCCCAGAGTTACTTCTACAACGTGCGGTACATTGAGCTGGTTCTCCGAAATGTAAAGGGCGATGCATGCCGACCAGGGGCATAGGCCGCGCAAAATGGCACGTGCGGACAGTTCCGTGCCGCGTTGTCGCGCGTTGTTGCCAGTCTCGCGTTCGTAGCACCCGGTTCGGTTCTGTGAATATTGTAAGCATGCATCTCGGGTGTCCCTCGTGACTGACACGACGCAGTCGATCGGACAGATGCATTCTAGGACGGCTCCGCCCGGCGTTACCGGACATTTCAAGCCAAGTCCGCACTTCAAGATCGCGGACCCACGTACCTAACAGACTACAATCGAGATACTCGAAGCCCCGCTTGCCTAGCATCACTACGATACGCCAGGGGCCGTTAACCGCCGTTGTGGTATCCTCCACTGTGCCGCGTATTTGACACTGCTTTCGTAAGTCTCGCGTTTTGACAACAAGTGTTCGCAACCCGATGCTAAATCGATCAGCATTACATAGCTGCTCGTTCGCTCGCGGGCAGCTTTTTCTCGGGCGCGGCGGACTGTCCTCGCCGCAAACTATGCGATGGCCTCGTCACGCTGCGCACCCCTGGTGCTCCCAAGACGAGGCCCGCGGACGGCGGCCTTCCACAACGCATGCATCATTTGTAGCCGCTGTTACAGGCCGATATAGCGGCGTGGATATATATCGAAGAATCCGTGTCCGCGCGCGGGGTTCTGATCTCTGATTCGTCTAGATCGGCTGTTGTTTATCTGTCGTCGTGTTGCCCACTTCGGAGGTGCGTGCAGCCGCGGTGTCTCGTCCCTCCTTCGCTAACACACATAGTTCAATATTCAGAGTCAGACTTCTCCGCTGATTGGGCCGACTCGACCGCACACAACTAAGTTGATGAGCCGCGGCGCTCCTAATTGCTTATTTGACTGCCTGGGCCCCGAACGTACGTACGTCGCGATCGCGATCGAACTCGGACGAATTTTTGTCCGTGGTCTGTTGTCTGTTATACGTGGCGAGTGGATTCTCTACTACGCTAAAGTGGCCTTTTCACTGATCCGTTTGCTATAGTCGTGCAGTATGAAGCTATCTCCGCCGCCCGCACTCGTATCGCGCCGTCGATTTCCTGCGCGGCCAGCTCAAGAGTGCAACGTGTATGGTGAGATCCGTGTGCGCTAGCGGCAGAGCCGTGACATTTGTGACTCTTCGGTCGGCGCAGAGCAGAGGCGCCGCATCGAGCCTACACTCGGGAGAAGTCTCAGGTGTCTTCCGTATATCGTGAACGTTCCGCCGGACGTCGGCCTATTCGTCGCCGCCCAGGGCCTTGCTATCACTGTCCCCCCCACGCCGTACGTCCGCATGAAGGAGATCGCCGAGGGCGCGGCAGATGCATCTCCATCATAGTGGTACGAGAGGGTGCGCCCGCGTTCATCTCCGAAGTATCTGACCTGCGCGCGCACGCAGGGCACTGGACTCGTCTCCTATGAGGCCCGCCGCCACCCATCTCACCCCGAAGCGGCACTAGCCATATTTCCACGCACACCGGCGGCGCGAGCTTGCCGCTCATGTCCCACTAAACAACAGGATACTACCGAACTCGCGCCCACAGAGTCACAGAACACGATACATTGCCATCAAGATCTCCAAGCGAGCCTAGACTCATTAGAACAAGGAGGCGTTGTCAAGGACTCAAGATCACGGATCGCGAGATCATGGGCTACCATAAGACGATCGTGCGTATGTGCTGCTGTTGGATCTTGCCATTCCTTCGCTAACTAGCACGTTTCATCTGTTAGCATCCCGGTATGTCCGCTGATTGTGTGGCCGGGGCTCAGGCTGGACTCCCGAATGCTCCCTCGCTAGCACTCGTCCGCGTCAACGGGCGGCGGCCGACGCCGGTGTACCTTGCACCGTATTGACGGCGCAGTCACGGGTCAGTTTTTTTGTGGTTGTGTCCAGCATCCGGGTCTCGGCGCTGACTCGCTTCGCATGGGTTTCCATGCAGCTGTTCACAAATCCGTGAAGGAAGCGCGGCGTAGCTACCCAGCAGCTGGTGAATGGCTTGCACGATCGGCCCGCGGGGTCGCGTCCCAGGCGGGCGATTTTGCCTCAATTAGACGTGCTATTTCCTGCTGGAAGTTGCGATGAAGCACGCGCGCTGACTTGTGGTGTCGACAGCGACGCACGCGGCTGTGTCACCGCCATTTGCTAACCCCAGAACGCACAAACACGGCGACAACTGCGTCGTACGTCGTCTGATTCAGGACGGACAATAACATTATTGACCGGCATACAGGTTTCCCCTGGGCACACGCGACAGCGCGTACACGAGTAGCAATATCGTCTGATAACAGCGGCAACTCTACGCCTTCGAAACTCCCGTTGGATGGTGGTGCACGACGCTCACAATTAGAACACCTTCGCAAGACGTCGCCCCACGCCCAGCGACGCGCCTTCTTGTCTGTCTCTACCCCTTCGTGAGTTCGTGCATTCTCAAGAGTACTATCACTCAGAAGTGCGGGTCCCTGATGTGTGGGACAGCAAGCAGGGTCCGCCCCGCCTTTCAGTTGTTTTCTAACAGACTTCCGCCACTACACGGCGTCGAGACGTGCATCAAACCGCAGGCAGCGTGTCCTCTACGGCCGTGAAACAGGGACCAACGCGGAGACGACCGGACGTACACAAGTGAGCGGATCTTCCGTCATTGGGAGGCCGCTTTCCTGGGGTTCCGACCGAATGGTCGTGCTTGCGACGCGACGGAAATGGTGATGTTCCTGCATTGGCTCGGAGTTTGCGTGGCTCGTATACTAGTCACAATATATCTTATCCCTCCGTTCGACAACGAGGCTCCGGACTGAATAGCTCCGCTGGCGCGAGCATGAGGCATGCGCGGGGATCGGACGCGCGGGCAGCGACTTGCGCCCGCGAGCAGTTGTCTCAGGCGACACGGCTGGTTTCCTCCTGAAACAGGAGTAGAGACCCGCGAAATGCCACACCGCAGCTCGCGAGATCGTCAGGATGTGCGCCCACAACCTAGAAGTTCGATCGTTTCTTCTGGCAACCGGTAATCCGTCGGGAGTCGTTTATTCGCGCTCGCAATCGCTGTTCGTGTTCCCACACGAGGAGAATCAGGCATAACGACTCGGAAACATATTGAAGCTGATTCTATGACAGGATGGTACGGACTCGGGCGCGCCGCGCCCTTGTAGACAAGAGCCTCACGAAGCTAAACCACACGTTCCAGACAAACGTAGGATTTGCGAGGAGCGGCAAGCATGAGCGGGGGCAGTCTTGAGGTCTGTGCACGATGAAACCAGACGCTTCGACGGGTATTTCATACGATCCCCACGCCTGTCACAGGGATAGTAAGCTTGAGACGACGGCGTGCGCGACGGACGCGGGATTTACGCACCTCGCACCCGAACGAAGACGCTCCCGGATTGCAGGGACGCGCCGATTTCATCTTACGAAACGAGCTGGAGGCCGCATCATGACGACGCCGCGGCGCATGCGAGCGTCGCGGGGGCTGTTGCATTGAGCATGGGGCCCGGGGCTTGGCGGGGAATGTGGACGCGGGCGTTAGGCGTCGTCGAATGCGGATGTTGACGTCGCGCGCGCAAGCAGACAGGGACTCGTACCGTCATCTACAGGCGTGTGCACGAGTAGGTATAGCGTGCACAAGAGACCGAGGGCTGGAGCCCGCCGAGGAGGGATGTCTGACAGGTTCATCATCAGGGCGTGAGCGAGCACGACGGCACCATGTTTGACTGAACGTACCTGCTGGAGGGCTCTCGAGACGTGCACGACGTGTCGAGAAGACACTCCTGCGCGCGTACGAGAGCTCCAGAGTGGTGTATTACATACAGGAGCTCGACAAGCGTGCACAACGACTCTAGACGCAGCCCAGAGGCATCATCGGACGTACATATCGACGCTGCAAGTCCGCGCGGTAGGGTACGCGTCCGTGGCGAGGCTGCGTAGCTTGGAACGAGCACCGCGGTCCGCGAGCGCGTGCATGGGAACCGGCAGCGAGTACGAGCAATCGAAGGCCCGCACTCCCAGAGGAGAGGCTCCTGGAGAGATCACTACAAGTGTGTCAACAAGGGCGACCATGCTACTGCTTCTAGCTGGACGTACCTGCTGGAGGGCGTTGAGACCACATCGCGGACGTGCGAGCGAGTCTCCTCGGCGGATACAAAGTCGAGCTCGTCGCGTTCGCGAACGCGACGGCTGGCGTTTGCGAGAGCATGCGACCTTGGGCTGATGCGGAAAGCACGCCGTGCTCGCCTCGCGTGGTCGTGTTGTGAGCCCTTGTCCGCCGTACTTGTCGAGTGAGTCTCCGGGTCGCCATGCCTAATCGCAGAATCTCTTGACCACGAGATACACACTTCCATGGGCGTAGCGCGAAGAAGTAGTGCTGGCCGAGATCGCAACTACTCCGAGTACTGAGTCTAGCTGATCGTAGTGCGCAGGAAATCAGAGGGATTCGGGCAAGCTAGCCTGAGTGCGTACCTCGCAGCGTGTACTAAGTAGACGTGCAAGGACGCGGCGGTGACGAGTCGAGCCTCATGTCTTCTCCCGTATCACGAGCACACTTTCTAGGAGCGAATGAGGAACTCGGGTTTGAGCTCGCAGTATTCATGCAACTGCACTGCCGGTGAGTATTCAGCCAGTCGTTTACGGGAGCATCTCCCATATTCTCAGAGCACATACAAGACGTCAGGGACGCAATACACAGTGCTCACACCTACAGCAGAACCACATCAGCAATCCATCCTGAGCTTGAAGAGGATCACGCGTACGTACCTTCCATGCGAATACACGCTGTCCGACACAAGTCATCTCCCCGCCTCCCCGTTCCCGACGAGCTTTTGCACAGCGTATGGCACGCCCCCGGATGCATCGTCTAGTGCACGACGTGCATTCCACGCCTCGGCCCACGAGACGGCAGGAATACTGCTCCCGGTCCCGCCTGAACGTCGCGCGCGGCCGCAGATGGATGGTTCATGGCCTTGATATCTATTCCATTCACGGAGTGAAGACGCACGCGCCCGTGTGTCCACGCAGGAGGGTGTCCGCAAACCGCGAAGCATGTGTTCCGCACGTCGTGAACGGGGCTCCCAGGCCCCGTCGTGGGCGTTCTCCGCGGCGTGCCATGCGCGGACGATTCGGGCAGGGCGTGCGCGGGCGC